GTCTACTTGATGACACTTAACAATGGCAGCATGTCCAAGAGGACCAACATCCTAAATGCACCACATATTTTGATCTGTTTAATGCTTTTGCCAAATGCTGTTTAGACCTGGGGGGAGCCTGTTCACAATTCTCAGGTTCTCTTTACCATTTATAAAGAGGGAGGGCAGTGACACCTACTTCAAATTATAGTATGACCGCTTATAGGGGGGGGTAAAAGTGGAGGTGCTGCAATTGGAGACGTTGTCCCTGGCCACATAGTCCTCGGTCAGGCAAGGGGACCAGGTTGGGGTGGGGCCAATTAGAGGAGGAGTGTACCAGCCAGCGCATAGGGGGTGTTGCCCTGCTCGGGGCGGGCTGTCATTGGCCCTCGGCTCGGGGTGAGCTGTCACAGCCCTCTGCCCGGGGCGGGCTGTCTTCGGCCCTTGGCTTGGGGCGAGCCGTCATGGCCCTCTGCTCGGGGCGGACTGTCTTCGGTCCTAGGCTCGGGGCGAGCCATCATGGCCCTCAGGGTGAGCTACTCAGTCCCCAGATTGTGCCATCTGATCCCTGGGTGGGGGGAAAAATGCCTAGGTTATCCAGAGAATTTTATCTAGGCTACTTTTCGCCACCCTTTCCCCCAGTAAACCTGAAAGCAACACCCCCAAAACCCCTCTTTTTGTAACGCACAAGTTTGTTCTCTCTAGGTTTGCTCCCTTTCCTATAGGTAACCTTAACACTGAGTTTTACTTCATACCTGACCCTGAACCCAGTGCCAATGACAAAAAGGAAATGCAACCGCCAGCTAAAGAATCAAAGGAGGATAGAACCTCTAGGTTCAACCAGCCATCCCCACTGGACCCACCTGGGAAAGTACTTTGCAGTCCAGAGGGGAGGAAATGACAGGAAAATACCTTCTAACAGAACACGAAGGCAAGCAGCCTTAACCCAAGATCACCAGTAAGGTGATAAAGTATCCTCCCTTTCCCCCTTCACATCAATGCCCCTCTTCAGCATGAAGAAGCCAGAGAGTCTGCATCCAGTTCCCATATCAATAAGACAGTTGGTTTAAATGCCATTGGAAAATGCTTATCATTCCCCTGTAGCATCTGGTCCCCACTGGATCATTTCCTTCACCTGCTCCCCCCACCAACCAATATCTGCAGCTCTACAACTGAATCCTTGCCCATCCTCACCCTTCTGCCCCCAACTCTCGCCTTCTTGTACCCCCAATATGTCTTTCCCAATAAAATTTAAAAAAATTTAAAAAAAAGATTAATATTGTCAGCGATTTCACTTTACTTGGATTCACAATCAACACCCTTGGTGCCAGTAGTCAGGAAACCAGGAGATGTACTGCATTAGTCCACAGTCAAGGATATTAATGATATTGTTCAATAATTTCCAAACTCTGTTGGGTCCCCTTTCTTTGGAATGGGAACAAATATTGATCTTTTTCCAGTCAGTGGGCCAGCTGGCTGTTCTCCAGATTTCTTGGCACAACTTAGTGAGCATATCCAGGCCAGTGTCTGTTTGTTGAAATATGTCAATTGGTATGCC